GTAAGTTAAAAATATAAATACTTTAAATTATAAAAACAACCTTAACAACAATAACTTTATAATCACAACAAGCACTTATTTGATACAATACGAAATATTTTTAATTTTCTATAAAACATTTTAATTTTAAAACCAAGCCAAGTATTAAATTGATTCGTCTCTGAATGACTCTTAACTTACGCATAATATTATTATACAAAATTTCAACATAAGCGAATGTAACCGTGCGTACTCGGAAGAACACGAAAAAACGTTTGGACGGACAAATAGACACACAAATAATTGTAGAGGGGTTTCGTGTATTTCAATAGATACGAGAAGAACAGGCGTTGAATAATTATGTAACAAAATTTCAGAAGATAACTTGACTCTATAAGCTTGCTTATACATACGCTTATAATTTAAATATCAAATAGGTAACATAGAAACTACAAAGACAGACAACACACGAGCTGTCAGAATCTATAAAGTTATCTGTATTTATAATAAAAAATAACTCTGTATTTCTATTTATATATAGTTTGATTCTTTGGCCCAATGTCAATTCTTGTTTATCACTTTAGTTATTTTTGTAAATGTAATTTCATATAGTGTTTAATTTAATAGCATTATGTCTCAAATTTGAAATGACGTAATTTTGATATATTTAATAAGGTGTAGGTATTTGAATTTTTACAAACAAAAAATATTAATTATTTGCGCTATTCCTTTCAAGCATAAACTCAGGGTGGTTTTAAAGAGCGTACTTAAAATGATAATAATTATAAATATTATCGGCTTTCTATTTTAAAGACTATGCTGAACTTAACGTCATTAAATGGCAATGGCCGAAATAAATTCAAGAAAAGGTGAAGGTGTCGTATCACAACCCCTCGTGTTTATGGAAAGGTCAAACTATTACAGTAAAATCCATAATGGCGAGGAAAGTGGTACCTTTGAAATTACTATGTTACATAGATGAGGATCTTGAAGGAGTGGTTACGACCGCGAAAATTAGGCATCTTTCGCAATGATCGGTTATAGGATGGGCAACCAAAATTTTACATTATATCCATAAAGATATACTATGAATGATAATGTTACATAGCTGCACATTAGAAAATAAACTGTTTAGAATATCTAATTTACTTTTATTTTTATACAGTTTACATTTATTAGATTATTTTAAAATAGGTTAAATGAAGAAAACAGCATTCTAATTTACTAATTATACTTTACCAGACCGTATTTCATGCATAAATTCAAATGACCCGCTGGGGCCGACTTTGTTCTGTACATCAAATAGATTTCAAAAATAGTATTAAAATGGAGTGATGAACGAAATAAATGTACCTCCAACTTAATAAAAACCAAATTAATTACCATATTCAACTATGATTTTAATTCATTATTTATTACGTCAATTCCAACAAAAATATGTTAAAACATGTGCGTTTCTCTGAAAAAAAAAAAAAGTAAGTTGTTTTTTTCCCCGTATTTTTCGCCTATTTACGCATTTATCCCTTGAAGGCTGAAAAAAAATTCTGGCAACCCTAATTCTAATCCAATCAACATGATTACTAAATTTACCTGCACCAAATCATATATTTAAATGATCTTATTGCTCTATATTTTAAAATTCAAAATATTATTTCCTCCTTAAAAATAAACACACAAGGAATATTGAAAATGTTTTTAATATATTTCTAGGTATCTATTAGAATTTATCTTACCTATTTGTTTATTAAAAATTCTTTACTAGAGTATAACACAAAACATTAATCACTCTGTACCAACTACAAAGAGATTAAAATAGCAATGAATTCTACAGGTGAACATATTGTGTATACAGCAGGATATGACCAATTCCATTATTCAATTGTGCATACAACTCAACTTACCTACGAGATATTACAAGTTATGATATATTTAGAAACATAGGAGACTATTCCTTCACAATATGACACTTGTTTTGAAAGATAACAAGCATTGTATCAATAACAATGCATATCAAGATTATTCAATATTGAAGTAAGTAAGCACTAGTGTTGCCAGTATTTCAAACATAAATTTAACTGTGCTGTCGGGACCGACTTTGTCCTGTATATCAATTCGATTTCACAAATGATTTTTAAGTGGACTGATGTATCCCCAATTTAATAAATATCAAATTAATGACCATATTTAACAAGATTAAAACTAGTTTTTAAATATGTCGAACCAACAAAAATATGTTGAAACATGTACGTTCCTTTAAAAAATATTAAAAAGCTATCTTAGTATATGATACGGTTTTTATTTATCCCAGATAAAAACTTGAAATCCTGTATTTTTGCCTATTTAAGCATTTGTATTTACAGACTAAAAAACCTGGTAACCCTTATGGACATCCAGGGCCTTTGGATTGTATGTTACAAAGAAAAATTCATTAGTGTATATGCCATGCCACCTACTCAACCTAGTCAGAGTTTATGAGGGGCTTTCCCTTGCCTAACTCAGGCGGGTTAGTCCAAGAGCAGAATCCACTAAAACCTTCCAATGTCCCTCAATATGGAGAATGGAACACAGTGAAAGCCTAGTCTAGTCTGTGGTTATCTCTAACTTTTCTGTTACTTTCTAATACTATTAAGTTGGACCATTACATAAACTAAAGCTTTACCAATTGTTTCAAATAAAGTTTTATTATAACTGTAAAATCCATAGTTAAACATAATCTAATAAAATAAGCAATAAAAAAGTTATTACAAATATGCATACAATAACAACTTAGTTGCATTACAGTTGGAATGTCAAGAATTCAGTGAAGTCATATAGCATTACATACAATTGTTTAATTGTTCTTAGAACTTTGTTAAATTTCTTTCATGTAATGTAGAATGGAGATTGCTATCACACATTAATAATGATAGTGCAGACAAGTGAAAGTAAAATCCGATAAGTAAAATTTTGATAATATTTTATGTGTTCATGGTGAAAGGTGTTTGGATGTAAGATTACAAAATAATTAATTTCCAATCAAACAATTTTTTTATAAAAGGGGATTCATTCGAGTTTTGTAAAACAATAGATTAAATAAGTTGTCACTATGGATAATAATTAAATATGATATATGAGCTGATTTAACAAATATACCTATTATCATTTGATTTCACACTTTTATTCATCAAATGTTTTATAAGACTTTCTCATACTAATTATGTATAAATAGGTGAGATTGCTAACTTTGATAAAAGAGGGTAATCTTTTGGAATTACTAATCTGATCAAGAAAATTCTTTCACCTACAGAAAGCTACATCATGACTGGGTTACATAGGTTATTATTTATGCAGGCAAAGTTATAGAAAAATAGCTAATCAATTGTGTAATGTGGTGAGCTTCAACATTAAAAACAAATTTATTAATACATATTTTTTTGGGATTAAAGATACATCTAAAGCTCCAGGTTAAGCTAATAATGGCATGAAGTATATTTGAATAATCTGCCAGTTCAATCAGAAAATGTAAAACATAGCTATGCATATTTATTATTTAGCTGTTTATAAATGTTTAGCCAAAATTAACTTAGTTTTAAACCTACTTTAAATAAATATGTCATGCATATACATAGCATGTGTAGAAATATATATAAGAAATATTTATAAAACAACCTCCTTCCTACAACATAAAAGGATTCATGGTGAAGTATAAAAAGTAACTCAGGATTGGGTGTTTCTACCTTTACCGTTTTATATGCTTCATAATACGAGTGCTGTAGCTAGGAATCTTGCCACCTGTATGGTATTGCCTAATATTTATTGCAATGCATGCATCAACATCTCGACATCAGCATATTTTATTTTTTCAATAAAACTTATTACAGAGCAAGTCGACAAGATAAAAACTTGCACACAAACTTACAATTAAAGTGGACCAAGTCAATTTGTTTATGTTGATTTTAATGAGTTATTACTTAATATTTTAATGTAATTATTATTAACTCAGGCAGGCAGTTAAAACAACTGATATAATGCATGTATTCAATGTCAGCTGTCCTGTTTTCATAATATATATTAAACACATTTTTTGTTATTCTCTATGGGTTACATTTTAGTTATAGTTCCAGTCTGTTTTTAAATTGTTTGACATTATTGGTTGCAATTATTATTTCAGGCATCAACCACTCTAATAGTCTTAACAAGTGCTTTTTAATCAAAAGTTAAAGAACAAAAAAGATTGCAACAAAGTAGCCATGCCTCATTTCAAGAGTAGCATGTGACTAATCATATGACATGCATAATTTATTTATATTTGTTTAATGCACAAAACAGGTGATGACCAAAATTACTTGAAATAATAGGGCATATAAAACTTACAGACACAATGATAGCAATTGATGCAGAAAAATTGATTACAAAAAAAATTGAAACAATATTAATTGGCTACGTGAAATAAACACACTGTTGTCAACACCACAGATACCTATTAAAATTATCAAATTAAACATCTCATCATAGTTCTAAAAAGAACAATTGGCTGAGAATTAATGCTGTAAGTGATTTCTATCAGACACCATTTGGATAGTGTAGAATGATAAACAGTTATTAAAAGGGGGAAATGTTGTTTTATAATTTTTTTCTTCTCACATTCTGAATCTATATCAGTCGTAGCCAACACAAATCCCTCTTTATCAGAAAGAAGCATTATATAAATCAACAAAAGACGAATATAGTTCTTGGTCAATTTGAATCAGTTATTACTTACAAGCACAATAACACCTTGCCGTAACTATTATGTTAACTGCCTCTGAGCAAATATTGTTGCAAATAGAAAAAAACATGGGTAGATGAGTAATAACTCATTATCATTTCGAAGCGAGCTACTGATGTCAATGTCGCGCAATAACAGCGGACCGCGAACAACGGCAGACTTTTGCAACTGCATCCAGTACAATATGTTGAAATGGTCTAATATTTCGTGCGTTCGATCCTATTATGCTGCACGCACAAATCACCTAATTCATTCAACAATGACCTCTACAAACCTTTTCGAAGCGCTGCCTGTATTCGGCCTTCTCTATCTTGTCATTTTCCAACTGAGAAATTTTCGCTGTCAATTCCTGCAATGCTTGATTTTCTTTTTCGTTTCGCACAGCAAGGTTTTCCAGAAGCTCCAAAGCGTTTATCACTTTAGGCAACAACGCTGTTACAGCGTCAGGTCCGTATTTTTCAATAATTATTTCACATTCTTTGCCAATATCCGATGCCAAATCGTACACATCGACGACTGTAACGTCGTCATCGTAATCCGGCATCTTGGCGGAGAAGCGCCTTCGGTACGGCATTAAAAATCCTTTTCACTTCACCACACCACAAAATATAAAGATTACAGATAAATATCCACCTTTAACAAGTGCGCCATCATTACTGATTCGTAAAAGTGAAATGTCAAATTTAACAAATAGGGTTGTCTGTTATTTATAACGAAGTTATTATTCTGTAACACAACACGCTATAACGCTATATAAACTTTTGTTTGTACCAAATAATGCTATATTTTATGTAAACCTTCAATCTTATATTTTTGTTCGACGACAACACATAAGTGTATTTTTTTTTGCTGAACAAACTATTCATTGAATAAATAATAATGCGAGTATGCACTCACAATACATACTAAAGTTTATTTCAAAAGATAATGTTTTTCAGTAAATCGAAATGCATCATTCGAAACCAATAAAAATCGATTCGTTCTACTAACGTTAATGTTAGGAAGATTTGAATTTAGAGTTTCAATCAAAAAGGTTGTGGATAATATATAATACATTAATGTTAAATAGATATATTTATGTTCGTGTGCACGGGGAAATGCCCGTTAAATTGCTTTATTTTTTACGTCACGAATGTAATTGTATACGTTTAAAATAACTATATGTTATGACGTAGGTATCCGCTAAGAAAGGATTTTTATAAATTCCAACACTAAGGGGATAAAATAGGGGATGAAACTTTATTTCAGGTATTTTACACGATATAATGAATAAATATTCGTTAGAAATTCTGCTCAAAGTAACCTTACCACGCGGGCGCAGTTATGGGCAAAAGCTAGTTATTTATAATTATAGAAAGACGTACATATTCGAAAAATTGGAGTATTCGAATTATTTCTAGAAAGATATTAGATGATTGAATATAAATCAGATGAATAATACGTGCCCTAGTTATGACCAGGTGACAGTTGTCAATTGTCATAGTCCCTCTAACCTAACTAGCGCCTTAATGATAAAATAATAAATATCTGATTAGTGATACGATTTAAATATAAATGCAAATTTAGAATTATAATTTATTTTGTCTGTCCGTCAGGTAGATTATTGAAGAATATTAAAGACTCTCGCAGTTTAAAATAAAAGTTCTAGATATGTTTTACGATTCAACAGGTGTAATCACAGTTTTACAATACATAAGAATCAACTAAAGCAGTGCAAACACAAACATTAAAGTTATTTGTTAACGCGCGGCTCATTTTCATTCGGAGTTACCATAAAATTCAGCGTTAGCGAGAATGGTTGTTGGAGGTAAACGAAGCCTACATATTTTTAAAAAAGAGTGCGTTGTTCTTTGTGCTAACCATCGCGTTATAAAACTTAATTTTTATTTTTTGTGTTAACTGTAAAGATTATACATAAAGTTGAAATGTCGCATGACGTCACACCTTTGTAGCTCTATTACATAGTTGTGACGTAGCGAACCTAATCCCTCAACTTTAATGCCTTTTATCTAAGCCATTTCTTTTTAAATTGAAGCAAAGAAATAGCTATCTAATGTTTTTCTATTATCTGATTGAGGGTTTTTTCATTTTTTTAACAAAGCGTCATCATCATTAACCATCGTTTCATAAATAATTTGAATAATAAGCTAATAGTTCTTTTTTTATTATCACGTTATAACAATATAACGTTATAAAATATTGACACAGCTCTAGTTCTACGGCATGACGTCTTTTTTGGCGGTTTATTTGTTTAATGAAAAGCATAGGAATCTTATTAATACAGCCATCTCCAATCTTTCAATACAAATCCATCTCTAATCATTTTCTTCTTTTCTAAAATATGATAATTTTCGACGCAGATTCAATTGCTCATGACTATACTCTTTTTTATTTTGAGTCAATCAATAGGTATTCTAAATTTGACTTTTTTCAGTTAGCAATTCAGGGTTTTTTGGTGGATTGAAGCCGCCAACTCCACTTCATAAAAATAGATAGTGTACGGCTGTTTTATATTTTAACTACCGTCACAAAAGAGGGATGATTATTCTACGTTTGACCTGTCTGTCTCTCTGTAGCAGTGTAGCTCCTGAAGTAATAAATCAAGCTCTCTTAGCTATGTTTTGTGAAATGGGGTAAACAGTTTATAGAAGCTACAAGCACTTTAACAAGACAAACTTTTTAAAGGATTTGTACCTACTCACAGCATTCTAGCTTGTAAACGAATAGACCGATATAATTAAAGTTTTTAATCGATAGCCTCTTTTATCAAGTTCTTTTTGAGATATATTATTCTATTTTATTTTCTATTATTGAGCTTTATTTGAATTTCAAAACTGAAGTAAAAAAAAGAACTTTTAGAAAACCCGACCCAAAAATCATCATCAAAATAATTAACTTTATAAAAAATTCACCAGCACCGAAACCCTAAATGGGACTTGAAACCACAAATTTTCGCAATCCAGGCTATCTATCCATTATGCTTAATAATTGCCGTATTTATATTCAATTCAAGCCTTTATCTGTTAATGTGTGTAATGTAATATATAACAACTATTATCACCAGCCCATTAATGACTCCACCGCTTGGACTCAGGTCTACCCTGTGGATGGAATGGATTAAAACCGAATAGGGAGAATGGGACATAACCAAACATGATCCACCACGCGGGCCCAGAGCGAATTAGTGGGTATTAACGACTGCACATGCAGCTGGGACCAAAGGCTTACCGTTCCTTCCAAAGCACAGAGGAGCTCCAGATAATACAATGTAGGTTACCCATTCTAAGACCAGCCTTTGCGAAAGTTGCTTGACATATGTAACGCAACCGAGGGTTTAACCACTGCACTAGCGAGCTCCTTGATAACAACTATGTCACATATTATCCACAGCAATGTCATGATTTATACCTTTGTTATACGGTGATATGCACAGAAATAAAATTTTATATAGGTACTGCTATGCCATAGAAGAGCGGGATCTAGGGGCCCGGGGTAAAAGGGGGCACTTGCGCCAGTGTGAGGGGGACGCCAAAATTTGTTTATAAAGTTTAATAGTTTTATTAATTATTTGTTATATATTTATTTATAATACAAAGAAAGAAAGGGTTTTACAAATGAATCAAGAGTTACTCTATTGCGGCAACTGTAAAACTGTGCAACAACAAGAAAGATGGAGAGCCAGCGATGCACAATATACTTTGCCAAAACTTTCAAATTCTACATTCTAATTTTATTTTCTAAAGGTGGTGTCATGACAAACTTAAGAGACTCGAGAACTTGAGAATGTAACATTATAATATACTTGATAAAAGTGATATATAGATGTAGGAAAAACTTTTCTCGGGTTCGCCATGTATGCTATGCGTGCAGTAGAACTAAAGAAAAATCATCTTCCGCCGGGATGGGTGTTGGTTCTCAGGGGATCTGCATTGATGACCTCGCCGTGTCTTCCCACCTAACTAACATAAGTCACCCCTCCAGAACATCTGAAATCTTTAGCAATCTAGCAAATTGGCCTTGTTTCATGAACCAAAAAGGATCATACACATCCACTTGCAATCCGCATTGGGCCAGCGTGGTGAGTCATGACTTATCCTCCTTAACAATATATATGAGGAGGCCCTGAGCCCCCTTTTCTTTTTTTTTGACGCTGAGAAATGAGTTACGCATCCCCGCTTCGCCCAGCGCGGGCTTCACGAGTTAGGTGGGACTTCTCCTGCGGCCCCACCAGACATGTACAAAATACCCTGTACAAAGTATCTGGAATACAAGATACAAAATACTTTTAAATTAAGTATTTCAGATACCAGATACGAAATACTTTCGAGAAAAGTATTTGAAATACTAGATACAAAATAGGTATCTTATAGATACTTTTTATAAATACAAATACTTTTCTAAAAAAAGATTTGAATTTAAGTTTGTTTATTAAAGACCACTAAAACCTAAATCTTAGACCAGATGGTTCCAGGGACAAAGTGGATTTTTTAAGCATTTTTCATTAGAAACAATTTTTGTCTTCCATCTTACAAGCTAAATTTCACCCACTTTTCCTCCGTTTTATTTGTTTGTCAATCACAATGTAACATATAAAAATGCAAATTTTTAATACATCAGGTTTAAATTATTTTAATTTTTTAGTTCCGTTTTAATAATATTTTTTTTCAATATAGCATTGTGAATGAAAAATTGCTGAAATATAACAACAAGAATAATTATTTAAATTTAATTATAAAATTATTATTTATTTAAAAAGCTGGTTTTACGTACGACGTAAAATTACGGAGAACTGAAAATTCATTTTTTCCTAGTGAGATGAAGAGAGTGGGTAAAAATAAATACAGTACTTGGTTTTTAAAATTAATGGCGTGACTTGTGACGAGGTGAATGTGCGATAGTATGTAACAGAACGTATATTAACTTTTTTTGCAGAACTACCGAAAATTATGCCCCTTTAGTGTGTTAAGCTAATTTGAAATTTTTTTGTAGAAAATACTTAGCTTCTGTGGTTGATTATAGTAGGTTGGTTTGTAGGAAAGGCTTATAATACGTAGATGTACCTAAAAAGACGAAGAGTTGGTAATGCGCCATTAGTTACCATCTGATCGGATAAATCCGGTCTCAACCGGATTTGAAGTATTAATTAAGTCTTTATCTATGAAATTTCCGTTTTTAATAAAATAAATAAAGCTTTATTTTCTTATTTCTATTAAACAAAAGTAATCACCCATGCAATCAATACATCTTTGCCAACGCATTGGTAGCTTAATGATGCCTTCTTGAAGAAATCAGCTGGACGGGAGGCAACAAATACTTCAAAGGCATTTTGTACTGCCTCTCGGGAATTCATTTTTTCCCGCTAAGACATTATCCAAATTCTGGAAGAATTAGAAGTCTGTAGGCGCATGGTCTGTTAAGTACGGCGGATGACGGAGAACTTCAAACCCCAGCTCTTGTAGCTTGGGTACCGCCAATTGTGTAGTATGAGGTCGTACGTGGTCGTGCAGGAGCAGTGGAACCGAACGATTGACAAAACCTGGTTGGAGTTGTGCCAGCTTCTCCGTCATTGTGTTC